TCCTATATTTTGGTAGCTCAATAATGTATATTTCTATCAAAAGAACTGAGCTGAAATTCATGCTGGCCGTTGCGACACGCCTCATTGTCAGCCTTCCTCCTTCCCTCCCTCCCCTCCCCCCCACACAAACAGCTGCCTTGTCCTCTGACAACCTCTTGAGGTACATCGCAAATAGACTAAACGCTAGCAAATATCCTCGGGTTATAAATCTTCTCCACTTGACCCTTTTTAGGTTATTAGTCCTTGCAGACGCCCAAATGAGTAGATGGGTGAAAACAGTAGAATATTCGGAAGGAATCCTGTCCGGTTATTCTTCCTTCTTCCCCCCGCCCCTCCCGCTTATTTGTTCGTCTCCACATTTTCAAAGTGAGTGCCTACAACAGGCTATTCGTCAATTTGAATAATGGTTAAAACATCCCTTTGGTCCGTTTGACAAGTGTAACAAATAGAAACAAGGTCACTTGTTGCTACTTGCACGGTAACGGCACTCAGCTGTGGCACTTTGAAGAACATCATGAGATGTTCGGAGACTCCTGACAACCAGAAATAGCTTGTTAACTCACTACCGCTTTTTTCCTTTCTAATAGCTTGGAACACTGATGTCGAACTCTAATGTAAAGTTCAGCGCTGAAATAGTGGAAGACCTCACAAACAAAACCAGCAACTCAGTGTTAAACGCCATGATTTGTTTAAACGGCGAGGCGTAAATTCAGGCGGTTGATATATAGTACACAGGGATTCTTGTACATTGTTTGGTTTAGATTTAAATAGTTTAGTTACTGACTCAGTAATTGGTTTAATTACGTTGAGTCCAACCCGTAACACCCTGGGAATGACTCAGTATCACTGCTGAATCAATCACTAATGATTCCCACCCAATGAAGCCTTTGGTCGATGGTTAAAAAAAGTAGTCCTACCGTTCAAATATTTTAGGGAGCAGGCTTCTCCTACCAAATTAGAGAAGAAGTATGCTTCAGAAACCACATGATTTATATCTCCATTGCTAAAAGCATCCATGAAAATTAAGTGCTCATCGCAATTAAAGATTTCCAAAGATTGGCTCATCATTCAAAAATTATCCTCAACTATGCCCATCTCTAAACTGTTGACGCCGCCATATGGAAAACAACGTTAACTCTATAACTTAATTACGTCCGCACGATGTCACAGAATCAGTTCACAAACAGCTACTGCTTTTTTGATTGTCAAGAATGCCTTTTGAGAAGCTCCTGATTTTTAAAAGAAAGCGTCAAGTGACTGACTAGCGCAGAACGAGACTAGCACAAGTCAGCGGCGAGGTTACACAACAAGATTTAAAATGGCGGACATCAGAGGGGAATTTTTGACACATTTTGCGGGTCAGAGTCGTAATTTCATTAACAGTTTTTATTAATGGAGATATGTGTTATGCAGTTTTGGAAGCACACTTCTTTAAGTCGGGTGTAGTTTAGTTTCGGGTGTGAACTTACTACTATTCAGTTTAGTTCAGTTTAGTTTTAGACTTCAGATTAGTTTAGTTGCGTTTAATACAGTTCAATCTGGATTGTTTAATAAGATATCACAGTAAGCTGAGAATTAGAATGTTGCTAGCAAGATGTAGTCATGATTTTTGTATGTGCATTTACGCTAAAGTTTGGATAGAACGTGCGCTGCAAACACTGTTTTCTTTGTAATTTTAAAAAGCGTTTTTTCATCTTGATAAGATCTCAAGAATTGATTTAACTAGAATAATAAGTGGGAAGGAATAAAAGTGGTATTGATACTGTTTTGATGTTGGTGTTATGTTCGTGTGATGTGCCCGATCTCCTACGCAGACCAGACGTAACGCAAGGCTTTTCTAGAATATAAAGAGCGTTACATTCAGCGTAGCGTGACACTCAAGGATACAAGAACATTAGGAAAAACGCTGATTTACAGTGAGCATGTTAATCACTGTATATATCAGAAACCGCGGTGATCGATAGTTTTATCTAAATTTATTTTAGAGACGCCTTTCAGGAGCCCGTTTTGTAAAATTCACATAGGGTCATAGTTGTGTCTACGTACAAAGCATCTGGAGGAAACATTTGAGTCATTTGACCTAATAATAGGTCAGTTCATTTTATCACTTTTCTTCTTCTTCTTCTTCTTCTTCTTTCTCTTCCTCTCCTATATAATTTGGTTGCTCAATAATGTCCATTTTTATCAAAAGAAGTGAATTGACATTCATGCTGGCCGTTGCGACACGCCTCATCGTTAGCCTTCCTCCT